GGCTTCCCACGGAGCAGGGAGCCCGATGCAGGGCTCGATCCCAGGACCCTGGGAACATGACCTGAGCCGAAGGCAGACGCTTAACGACTGAGCCACCCAGGCGCCCCAGAACCAGAATGGTCTTAAATGTGCTAAAAAATAAAGAGTGAGTCTGTGTCCAAGGTTTATTAAAGTTCTTGGTGAGAGAACATTAATAATAAAAATAGCTGATTCCATGAGTGCTTACAAGAAAAAAGATATAAATGTACAGACAGCAAAATAAAGTATTGGTAGACTTGATACAACAATTTGAGGTTAATTTTTCTTCCAGGCTATGAACTCATAACACCTCTTCTATTTCTGTGGGTTAACCTCCAATACACAGGAGTATAAACCATATGAGCCTTTCTCAGTTATGGATTGTTAGGTAAATACGCTGTGACAACAAAGTTCCATTCCCCAAGAGTGTCAGGTAAGTTCTTACTGGAAAATGTTCTTTCATGATAGAGAAAAAGAGATCTAGCAATTATCATTTTTCCCACCCAAGAGGGGACAACTTCCTCTTTCACAGTGTTATTAATGAATGACCATGGCATTTAAAACTGCTTTTCCCAAGATAAAGATACATGTGTGTTTTGTTTTGAGGAGGCAAATTATGCTCAGAGACTGATTTGCCTTTGCCAGCAATGTATTTCAATTACAGGTCTGCTGTGGGAATTTTACAAGCCAATAGCGTGCAGGAAAATATTTCTTAATAAGCCAATAAATAATATACTCCAAACCAATGATTGATTAATCACACTATTGTTCCAGGCAAGGGGAGATGAAAGGAATAAAGTCCTTATTTAGTTAAGTGTAGCTTTATAGGAGTTGGTACTTGGGAGTCATGGTTTAGCCAGCCAAGAGCCGATGTCCAGCTGCAAGCCCCAAAGTAAAAGTTCCCTGTTGCTAGAGCATGTTGCTAGGGAATGATGGAGTTGGTGTTGAAGGACAAGATATTCTTCCTGGGGCCACTGTATGGCTTTCCCCACTGCTGGTAAATGAGTCTTTACCTTGGCAGAAGCTAATTGCCCAGGAACTTCAGAGACCTCTTTAGAACAGCAGAGTCCTCTTGCCCAGACTGAACACTCTTAGAGACTCCTCACAAACTCTTGGTAATTATATATATGTTTTTAAAGATTTATTATTTATTTGAGAGAGAGAGAGAGAGAGAGGGGGCATGAGCAGGCAGAGGGAGAGGGAGAAGCAGACTCCCCACTGAGCAGGGACCCAAATGTGGAGCTGGATCCCAGGACCCTGAGATCATGACCTGTCATGAGTTTGTCATAAACTAGTAGAGTAAAACCACTTCATTTAAGTAATGAATAAGTGGATTTGAAATCATATCAAACAGTGTCAGTGTACAGAATGATCTGCGTTATGCAAGAGCTCAGTCTCTATTGTTTTCTGACTCATCAGTAGCTATTCTTCCAATCCAGAAATGTCAAACATATTTTAGGAAATTTATCAGGTTTATTGAACCTTAAGACTCTTTCCTTCAAATTTCCTGTGGATTTTCCTCAAACCTCATTACTAAACAAGGGCTTACTGAGAATGAGTCAGTGATATTGAGAGCAGTCTCATGCAGTGATCTTCAAACTAAGGAACAGAGATGTATCTTAAGGGAATCAACTTCTCGACCCTCAACTTCTCTATGTATGCTTTCCTAAAAACGATCCACCTGAGAACTTGACTGTGGCTCTTATTTCACAACCGTGCTTCTCCAACTTTACACAAGAAGGAATCTCTCTTTGCAACGCTGTTCTGCAGTTTGAGAAGCTTGGGGGCATTAAGGAAAGGAGTACTTCTTTTTGTGCGTGTAGGGGAAACCTCCTTCAATCAAATAATTCTAGATCCCTGTCATTTTATTAAGAAATGCACTTCCAAAGAAGTTTTTGTCTTTTATGTTCAAAATCTTTTTAAAATTGTAGTATATTTAAGTAGTTTTCATCAAATGTGCATTATTAATCATTATATTTACAATTCAACCCAGAAAAAAAAAAAGAGCAATTAGAGCATTATGGTCTAATGCTATCGTCTACGCCTAGAGCATTAAATTTAAAAAAATTTCAATCTCATACATGTTTTTGTTGCAGAAATTTTGAGTCAATAATGAAAAATATGTTGTATTCAATCTGCAGAAGTTGAATGGAAATATGATTTTGAGGAAAGAAAGGAGCAATATAAAATCTTCAATTGTTAATGAAGAGTTTGTTCAAAAATTTTAATTGGATGTTTATGGGTAGCAAATCACTTCAGTATTAAGATTTCATTGCATCTATTTAAAAGTTATTATATAATTTTATTTGAAAATGTCATATTTATAATACAGGGAAATTTATAACTTCCATGGCTATTTAAACATTTAAAGTAATGATAAAATATTTTAGAAGTTATCTTAAAAATGTATAGTCGTGTAGTTTCCCAAAGTTTGACTGCCATTAATTTAATGTGCTGGTTGGCCTACAAACAGGAACAAGCTTTGATGGCATGCAAAATTACTGTCAATGGATACTGATATAGGAAAGATGTTAGGGTTTGAAGCCGACGGCCAAGATAGAATTCTTGAGATGTCTTTGGTGCAAAAAGATGATTTTATTAAAGCACGGGGACAGGACCTGTGGGCAGAAAGAGCAGCACTGTGGTCATGAGGAGTATCCCATTATATACTTTCAAGTTGGGAGGGGGTTAGGGTTAGGGTAAGTCTTTAAGGAATTTTGGAAGCAAGGTTTCCAGGACCTTGAGGGGACCAGCTATTGTTAGGAAAAGGTCATTTATTACCATCTAATAAAACCTTAGTCATGAGACCCTTCAGATGTATATCGGTGGGCCATATGCTTGGGGGATGATTGCCAACATGTATCTTGGAGGGTTTAGAGATAAAGGAAATTTCTAAAGGAATTTTTATATGTTAAAGTAGACTTACAGGATCCTGGGGTGGGGAGGGGTTGGGCTAGGATAGTCGTTTGCCCTTAACAAAGTTTTAACATTGAGGCAGTTGAGTCCCTAGAGGAATGTCACTCTGCCTGTTTCAAGGACTTGTCAGTGGGCTGTAGGTAGTAAGGAAATTTAATAATTTCTCTTCTGCCTTTGTTTCCCACATCAGATATGTATATGTAATCCATTAGCCGTTCCTTAAATTTGTATCTTCTACAGACTGGAGGAAAATATCGCGGAAATTCAGGCAACTTCTTGAATGTTTCTCCTTAAATGTGAATCTGAACGAAATAAGGCAGAAGAAGGGACTTTTAGACCTGACAACACTCATCCTTCTCAATTTGCAGATGTTCTGTGCAAGAAATGATCAAGCTGTCATTCTGAGATACTGACTCTACAGTATCTAAGGTTATCTGCCTTAGCCTCCCCATGAAGCAGAAAGTGTTCCTCCAGCCAAGATATTGAAACTTCTGTTTAAAATGACTGATTCCTGGTGTTGCAGAGAATAAAGCGGCCAAAGAGAGGTGTAGACCTAAGAACAAGAGCCCAAGTTTAGAGGAGAGTGCATTAAAGCTCCACGCTGCCGGTTTTCATTTACCACCAGTGCCAGCTACAAGTGGTAGCAAAGCACATCAGTAAGAAGCAAAATATCCACCGGGATTAACTACTGCAGTCTTCTTACCTAAAGGTTCTACTATGGCCAAGTTCTTAAGCAAAGACTAAGATTAATATAGGCACATGTTATATTTGTGATTTATAATAAGAAATACATATCTGGTCTTTGTCCCCATTTTTTGGCACATAGCACCTAAAACTCTTGGAATTTCATTTGGTGAAAAGGATAGAGGTGTCTTTGGTTACGTTAGTGAGGCGACTTTGGGAAAGCACCTAAGGATGGGGGCTGGTGGCTGAGGAGTCAACGACAGGAAGGACTTTTCAATTCAAAAAGTAAATGCTTGGCAGAGTAAGGGGTCCCCACCAGGACTCTGTTCTAACACTATGACTGTCTCTTCCCAACCTGTGTCCTTTCCGATATTCATACAAAATCCAAACAGGTTACTAGATATTAGGCTAAAAGTTTTTAATATCATCCCTGCCTGGAAGGAAACACTGATGTGGGAAATGAAGGCAAAAGAAAAATTATTAAATTTCCTTACTACTTACAGCCCACTGACACGTCCTTGAAACAAACAGAGTGACATTCCTCTAGGAACTCAGCTGCCTCAATGTTAATACTTTGCTGAGGGCAAAAGGCAGTCTTAGCTTAACATTATTTCAGCCCCCCAGGATCCTGTAAATCTACTTTAACATATAAAAATTCCTTTGGAAACTTTCTTTGCCTCTACCAGCCCCCAGTACATTGTTGGCAGTCATCCCCCAAGCATATGACCCACTGATATACATCTGAAGGGTCTCATGACTGAGTTTTTACTAAACAGTAATAAATAACTTTTCCTAATAAAAGCTACCCCCTCAGGATCCTGGGAACCTTGTTTCCAAAATAATCTTGGAGGCTTACACTATCCCTAACCCCCTCCCAACTTGGGAGTATATCATGGGCCACTCCTGACCCCAGTGCAGCTCTGTCTGCCCACGGGTCCTGATCTGTGCTTTAATAAAACCACCTTTTTGCACCAGAGGCGTCTCAAGAATTCTTTCTTGATCATTGGCTTTGAACCCTAACATCTTTCCTACATCAAACACAATATATATAATATCATACTATAACAAGTAGTCTACTAGGTGAGAGAAAGCTGACGCAAGCTAATGAAACACAAAGAAAAGATTTTTAATGTTTCAATTAAGGATATTGAGATAGGGAGATTATCCTGGAATTCCTGGGTGAGCCCAATGTACTCACAAGGGTCTTTGTAAAAGGGAAGCAGGAGCATCAAGACAGAGAAGGAGATGTGGTGGTAGCAGAGGTCAAAATGACATGACTGCTGGTTTTGAAGACAGAAAACAGCCATGAACCAGGAGTGTGGCAGCCTCTGGAAGTTAGAAAAGCAACATTCAGTCATACGAAAAACTTCAAAAGTGTTCACAGCAACTCCCAGTCATATGAAAAAGAGTTCAAAAAGTTATTAAAAAAAGGTTTTCCTATGATAATTTGGGAAGGTTAAAAAAGTTTTTCTAACTACATTCTTCATTGAATGACACAACATGGCACTTGGAACACTTATTAACACCTGTGCCAAAAACCGTGTTTTAAAATCCTATTAAAAAATACATTGGAGAAGTTTAAAATATTGAAAATTCCCAAGCCAAATAATTACAAACTAGTATTAAGGCACAAATTCTTTATGTGAAAACACAACCATGGTAATACTGTTAATTTGACTTTTAACTTCACTAACAAAGATAAATGAAATCAGGTAATATGCAATTACAACCTAGAAAAAGTGAGAACAGGCTACAAGTGTAGGCACACTATAGCACTATTATGGTGCATTTCTTTCTTTCTCATCATCTATCTATGTATCTATCAGATTAGTAAGACTGAGAGGCTGTAGCATTTGCCATTCTCTGGGGAGGCAGAGGGTTAATGAGCCATACATACAGTGTGTGATTCTAAGCAAGTTAGCCTCTTTGAAGTTTAATTTCTTCATACAAAATAAGGTTATCAGTAATACCTATAGCATAGTTTTCTTGAAAGACCCTTTATTTTGCTAAGTGAAGTAACTCATATTTTGCACCTATCAGAATGTAGAACACATATATGTATGCAGTAAGTATTAGCTACCACTACTATAATTATCAGTATACTATTGTCAACTACTATTCAACATTGGTAGTAATATTACTGTTACTAATAATAGTAATTTTCTGTATACCATGTAGTCTCTGTTTCCTCTGAGTTAGCCCAGAATCAACTTTTATTTTATCCTGTTTAATGAGGAAATGAGGAAAATGCCATCAATTAATTAACTTCATTCAAAAAAACTTAAAAAAATAATATCTTTGAATTAAGGAATGTGGTAGGTACTGTTGCTATTGAAATGAATAAAACTCGGTCTCGGATAGCTAAAGCTTGCACTTCAGTGGGGGCACAGTAAAAAATACATGTAAGTCGCATAAAGTATTAGGTTTGCCACATTAGAAATAGACTTAGCGTTGAAACTCTAAGGTAAAAAAGAGGAAAGGGTCAGTGCTACCTGGGCAAGTTTGGGACAAGGGCGTCGAGAAGGTTGGGACAATTCAGAACGTCTTGAACCATAGTGAAGTGGCCGAGTGGGGAAGGGCATTCCATGCTGAGGGACCTGTGTCTGTAAAAGCATGGAGGCAAGAAGCAATTGCTGGGGCTGATGTGAGGAGAGCATGCAGAAGGAGAGGATTGGGGGCATGGCAACAAACGAGGCTGATGGCTAAGCTGGGGACTAATGAAGCCCTTCAGTGGATAGTATTTTTTTTTAAGATTTTATTTTTAAGTAATTTCTACACCCAACTTGGGGCTTGAGCTTACCCCAAGATCAAGGGTTGCATGCTCTACCAACTTAGCCAGGCAGGCACCCCAATAGTTCTTAACCATGTACCTTGTCAGGCGTGGTAAGTGCTGGGGATATAGTGGTGGTCTCTGCTTTGATGGCACTTACATGCTGACTGATCACAGGCTTCCTCTGTGGGAAATGGGGATGAACGGGGAATGGACATGATGTGATTCCTATTGCAGGAAGGTCACCTTGGTGGCTATGTGAAGCAGTGTGTGAAGGGGACAACACCTGAAGACAGAGAGACTAACTAGATGACTGTTAATTAATTCAACCAAGAGGAGCTCTGTGAAGGCACTAGCAGCAAGGATGGAAAGAAGAAACAAACTTTGGGAGGCCTGGGTGGCTCAGTCGGTTAAGTGTCTGCCTTCAGCTCAGGTCATGATCCTGGGGTCCTGGGATTGAGTCCCACATCCCCTTTGCCCCACACTCTGTGCTCTCTCTCACTATCTCTGTCGCTATCTGTCTCTCTCTCTCTCAAATAAATAAATAAAATCTTAAAAAAAAAAAGAAAGAAGAACTTCGGTGTAAAACTTGACAACTAGCCTGAATCTGTAAGTTTTGGTGACTACTTGGACCTGAGGGATATAGAAGAGGGTAAAGCTTGAATGGCCCAGAGTTATCTGACCTGTGTGAGACATGATACTCTCACTGAGTTTCAAACAGGTGAGAGCCTGGCATGTGAGCCGGGGCTGGGTTGTGGTATTCTGGGAGTTGAGGCCAGAAGGAGTGTGATTAGAATGAGTGGTCAGAGTGGATGGAAGTTGGGGAACATGGGAGGTGTGACTTGCCCTCGTGCTCCAGCATATGGAACTAAAGGGGGGTGTTCCAGACAACTTCAAGGTGTTCAACGGGACTGTGAGTGGGGCCCTGAGTTATGTGGCCCTGGCCTAAGGCAGCCAGTAGAGAAGCTCTTGAAGAAGACTGTGGAGAAGGCACAAGAAATCCCAAAGGTCCTCTGCATGTCATCAGCTCTGGCTCTGGTTTCAGTCTGGGTACCGAGTCCCTCATGCTAGTACTGATAACCAAGAGGTGACAAGGTGTTCCTGTGAATGCTTGGTGCTAGTTGTTATTTAGCAATCTGGCTTTGGCTCCCCTTGCTCTCCCAACTCTAGTAACTTCCACTGCTCCTTCTAAATACACCTCCATCCTCAGCTCCAGAATCCACTCAGCAGACTGACTATTTCAGCCATGGAGGATCTTATCCAGCTCTCTCCCATTCACTCAAGGTGGGCAGATGTAATTAAATACTCTGCAAGTGGTCTCAACAGCAAAAGTTATGTATTGAGGGAATTATGGATGTAAAAGGAAATGCTGGCATTACCTTTTCCATCCAACTGTTTTTTTGTTTTTCTTTAGCATAAGGAAGATGGACTCCTCTTCAGGTCCAGATATCCGCCACGTCTCAGGGCAAGTGGGGTGGTGACTCTGGTGATTTTGGATTTGGTTCTTCTAAATGGTCCACTTCCTCCCATGTTGCCTCATCAGAAGCAGTGACACCATTACCAGAAGTTAACCTTTTTTTCCCTTTTTTTAAGCATTTGCTGATGAGTGTTAGCAGCATGCGAAATTCTATTTGACCGTTGTTTGTTCTCTTTCCTCGTTTTCTAAGGTAGGACCAGTGGTGCATTAAAGACATTTAAGAAATAAAGGGTGAAATTAGGCTCAAGTCAGGGAGAATGGCTGATAGAGCAGTTGGGAAATAATAAGATAGACATGCTGTAGTTTTTTGCAGTTTTGTAATTAGAAAGAAAGAACTTGTTACACATGCAAAAAAATCAGATAGCCTAGGCTGGGAGGTGGAGGGTGGAGAAATTAGGATAGCAAAATGAGTAACATACACTGTGAAAAGGTTAAGGCACGATTCTAGAATGTAGCTGTGGTTCTAGCTACGAGAGTAACGGGATAGAATGTCTGATCTCTGCTGTAGGACACATGGGGCCATCAGGGTTAAATGAAGCAAATGCATGTGAGGGTACTCTATGAACCCATAACACATTGTGTACGTTCATTATTTCCATTACTATTTTGAGAACTACGGCTTATAGACATCCTTTATGTGTTTCCCTCAGTCCCACAGAACAGTATTTTTTTCTCCAGAGAAGTCAATGATTTCTTCTCTATGTTCCTGGTACCACACCCACTCCCCCTTCGCCTGCACCCCTACCCCTCCGCACCTACACTGAGGTTTGAGGTTTCTGTAAGCCTCTCCCTGCTGCTCATGTCACTGTGCCTCCAATGAGAGCACAGAAATACATCGCAGCATCCTCCAGCCGAGAATCTGAGATCCCGAGACTGAAGGATTTTTTTGCTTTCTGGAAGTTCACAGAGAAGCGATCCTTTGTTGCATTCTCTTGCTTATAAGCTTCTTGGCGAATAATGAGAATCATCTCCCCGCTGGGAGGCTGTTTATACCAGAACAAATAATAGTCACTGTCGCTGGTGTCATACGTGCAGTGCAGGGTCCCAGTCTCTGTCTCCCGCACAGACGTGTCTGGTTGAGTCTGAGTGACCGTCTGGGCTGTGCTGGATCCTGTGGGAAAGAGGAGAGGGTATCACACACCAGGCAGATAAGGCGGGCCGACTCACAAGCTGATCGCATCCTCCAACCACCTTTCCTCTTGATCCAAACCGCAGGCAGCACATATCAGCTTTCTGCCTCTCCATAGCAGGGCTCTGAGATGATGCAGTTCCTGCGCTAGGACTCTCTCCTTCCCGGCCCCGTTAGATAACACTACACAGGAAGACCTACACCTTCCTTACCAAGACAGGTGGACACCACGACTGCCCACAGCAGGCTGACCAGCGGCATGCTGACTGCTCTCCCCCGCGCGGTGAAGAAGAGTCTCGCGCTCTGATCTGGGTTCTCCCCTGTGCCCCGCGGCACTTCTGCTTCAGAGCCGGAAATGATCTGACAGGTGGGTGGCTGATTTTATCTCACTGAAGAAAGTTTGCCTAATACTTTTTTTGGTCTCCCTTTCGGAAAATAGGCCTTTGGTTATATGATTTCAAGTGAAAATGTAAAATGATTCCTGAGTTCTTCTATTTCTGGGATGAAAATAAAGGAGAAGGGAGCCGGCAAATTTATTTCTGATATGCCCCAATCTTGGAGAGGAGAGTGGGACCCAATCTTGGAGAGGAGAGTAGGACCTGGGGGGGCGGGCAAAAGTGGCAGGGTTTCCTTGGCAACAATGGCAAACTCTGTAATTTTTCTTTCTTTTCTTCAAAAACAAAAATGACAGAATAAGTATGATAAATATGAACAATTAGATATGAGTGATATGAATACCCCTGTTATATGAATGTATTCAATTTTTTATATTTCTACAGTTTATTCACAAAAAGAATGAGAAAAAGATTGATTTCTGCAACTGAAAAGATCGCTGACTAGACTCAGAAGCGGAACATGTCATGTCTGAGTGTGCTCCTATTTTCCACGTATTCTTAAAGAATAAGCCCCTGTTTGTGCAGCACCAGGAAACTCCACAACAATGATTGTAGGAGTTCTCACAGTACTGAGTCAGTCGCCTCACACAACTCGCATAAAGGCTTGTCCTCCTTGCTCTCATTCCATCTTGAGGAAATGTTGTGAACAAAGAACATTTAAAAGGCTAAACTATGATCCCTTTTTCAAAGGGAGTGACAGAGATACTCATGTAATTCCAGAGCTGGAGTCCCCAAGCTGGAGTATAAATGGGGTCCTGTCACAGAGGAGGCAGTATCTGAGGAGCATGGGTTCTCTGTGACACAGAGGTAGGTGGCTGAGTCTCTCCACTCAGAGAGATGTGCAGGGAGTCGTGACAGTTGGGACCAGCCCTGAATGAGGCTGTGAAAATCTCTTGTGCCCCCAAACCCAATTTGATAGCAATGGAAGTATTTCTTCTAGGTCATCTCCATCCCTGTCCCCTGATTTGAATTTTTGTATTTTGGTTCTGGATCCCTGAAAGTCAGCTCCAATTCAAGGATTTGTGTATAAGCAGTTTATTTGCAGGTCATTCCAGGAAACGTTGGTAGGAAGTGAATCAGGGAAGGGAAGGAAGCCAATACAGGATGTTGTCAACAAGCCAAATATTACTATTGTCAGTTGGAACTTAATCTAGCTAGTAACTCTGGAAGAGAGCATAGCACACCCTTTGGAGTTATTCCAAGTGAGGCATGAAGGACCTGGAGAATTCATCCGTAAACTCATTGTCCATCACTGAGTGAGGGCTGCTGTGGGGACATTAACTCTCCAGCACATCTGGCTAGCCCTGCACACTGGCCACATGTGTTCCCATGGCCAGAAAATAGTACTCAGAGTTGCTGGGTTTTTCAGTGTGTAGAGGTGACTGTCAAGGGGATGTGAGTAGAACACCAACAGCATCTGTACTTGCACTGTTGAGATCCACTTATACTCTATGTCAAATCCACTTGGATCACTGGTTCTTTAAAAAAAAGATTAACAGAAGGATCAATGAGACAAATTGTAATTGCAATAGTTGATTTCATGGCTGTAATTCGTATTTATTATCTCTCTCAATCTACCTTCTATACCACTCATTCTTGATCCTTCCAAATTTGGCTAATACATCTACGGTCTAATTTCTATCTCAATGAGATAACCAAGATCTTTATCCCTGAAGGGTCTAAGCCCCTCATTATTCTTTCCTTCTCAGGTCATAGTTGCTACAATTGTTTATTCATAGTAATCACTGTCATAAAAGCACTATAAGTCATCCCAGTGAATCCCCTGAGATTTAGCCATATTTTTCCCAGCTCCCATTGGGTAGCAACCACCCTATATCCTCATGATAATCAAAATTGATTGCCCCTGCCAGTGTAGTAATTCCTTTCTTGGCCTTCTGGTCTTCTGGCATGAGGACCTCCAAATGACCAAGTGGTATATGTAATTTTAGGTGAGGTGAAAACTTCTCTGTGTTTCCCTGGTAGCAGTATTCCCCCTTTCCTTTCCCTTCAAAGGGAAACACGTCCTCTAGTCGAGAACAGTGTGAGAACAGGAAGCGTCAACATCCAAGTGAGTCATTGAAAGTAAGAGTTGGTGGGGAGATAGTCCTACTTCTACCCCTTGGCTCCCAGACCCATGTATTTTATCTAATAGGAACAGAGCATCATAAGGAATAGCTCTCCAAGATCTCAGAGCACTGTCCTTAACTGGGGCTTTACCTGACCTTTAAGTGATCATTCCAGTGCGGTTTGTTGATAATACTGTAGGAATGTCATTATCCCCAACAGTCACATGTCCATTGTCACACCTCCTTGTTATTAAGTGAATTTGTTGATGCAAAGGGATGTGAAATCCTGTAATCATCACGATAATCAACCAGCCACTCTGAGCCCTCAGTCCATGCTGCTATGTGTGGCAGGGTGGAGGAAAGGTAGATCATGCCCAGAGTATGTATTAACTCTGATAAGAAAAGATTTCTGCTACCTCCAGAGTGGAAGGGGTCCAGTGTAATCAATTTGACAACCAGTGGCTGGTGGGTCTCCTTGAGAGGTGATTGCATATTGAAAGCTCAATGTTGTGTCTGCTGTTGACAGGTTGGATATTTGGCAGCAAAGGAGCTAAATCCAATGTAGTGAGAGAAAACCCATGCTTCTGGGCTCATCGAGAACTTCTGTCACCTCGGTTAATCTGTTCACAATCTTACTTAAGCATTGAAATAGACTAGAGACAGGCTGGTGACGTCCTCTGGAGGGATCATCTTGTCCGCATGGTTGTTGGGCACTTCCTTGTAGTGGATGCTCTGTGGTGGGTACTGACGTGAGACACAACGATCCAAACACTGTGTTTACACTCACTGCTCGTCGGTTCATGGTCACCCCAAGTGTGACTTGCCCTCTGCCCATTCACCTGCTTAGGGTTCTGACCCTAGAGAAGAGCTGATGTGGGGCACTTTTCAAAGACAACTGGCTTATAACTTCTGGCTATACCTCCTTTGACTCTTCCCTAGCCAGTCAGTTGGACTTTTATCCTCTTTTCGGGAGGAACCAGATTTTCAACCATACTGTGCCATCTTTACACTCTGCCCTTTATAAACTTTAAACCATTTTCCCTCAGCTTTTGGTACTTGATCTTCTAAGCCAGTCTTTTCAGAATGTCAAAATCTATTTTCTTTCACTACTGATTTTGATGGTCATGGCTTTTAAGATTTTGTATTTTCAGTATATTTGTAAAAATCTACAAAGGAGCTCAAGGGCAAAAATTTTATTCTGTTCTCTTTTTGTTCTTTAGTTCTCTCTCCTTTCTCATACTGAGCCTCAGGATTTTGGACTAGTTTTAACAGAGTAAAGACTTCACACTGAGAAACAAAATACATTAGATGGTATTTGAAAACATCATCCCTCTGCCCATGATCTTCAAATGAAATATTTGACATCAGGTTATAAAAAGCCCCTCGTGTTTCCCTTTGCTCAGAGTTAAAGTCAGTGCCCTGGAGCCCTTGTAGAAGAGGGCGCAGTGCTGAGCAGAGCTTGGGCGCAGGGTACAGGTGCCTGAGTAGCACAGTGTTACTCGCTGCGCACAGGAACGTGGTTGAGTCATGGAGGTGAGAATCGTTCACGTGCAGGCAAAAGTACTGATCCTCTCTGTTAAGACTGGCTGTGAATCTTCCACTGACCTTCTCCTTCTCGTTTGATTGCACTTCTATCAGAATGTGGAGGCTTTCCCCAGGATCCTGCCTCAACCACAGGAAGAAACCCAAAGTATTTTCTCCGTAACTACAGTTCACTGTGAAGCTCTTTCTTTCCTGAACTTTCAGGTCAGGAGGGCTCTGTTCCATTGGTGGCTGTCCATTTGACCCTGTTCAGGAGGAGTGAGAAGATTTTCATACATGAGAAATGTTTTTTTTTTTTTTTGGTTTTGTTTTTTGTTTTTTAAAGAATTCTCCTTATTTATTTTACATTCCTTAGAATAAACCCTGGAGGGACCCGTGGGGTCCCTGTAGATTTCATTTCCAGAGCCACACCATATCCCTCCCCTGGCCCTTCCCCTCCCCCTCACTCATAGTTTAGCTGGACACACAGGAGCATAAGTGAAGCTCTCAGGGGAATCTCCATTCTTACTTCTTCCTGGAGTCTCTGAGGATTCAGTTTGGAAGCCTGGAACTGACGATGTTCAGTGGGAGTGGTTCACTGCTCTAGATTCTTCTGCCCCTTTTGGTTTGGAAGCTTGGGTGGTCTTCATTCTGTTTTCACAACCAATCAAAATCTGACCTGTCACATCAAACTCGTCATTGAATATCCTCTTTCCTGCTTCTCCCATCACACAGTTCTAGTTCCCAGCCAGTCACTTCTGCCCATGGAAGCATTGCCCCCATGTGGTCTCAAATTTTTAATTAAAATTTTATTTTCATGTTCCTTAATACAATGTAACTCGTTCTGGTAGATCAAAGGAACATAGACCATACAGAGAGGGAAAAGCAAACAAAAAGGAAAGAAAACAAAACATAGTGTTAAAATGTTCTCCAGTGATGACCTTCCGAATAGTCTTCGTGCCTGGAACTCTCTTCCTCCCACTCCTCACCTTTAATGGAAATCTACGAAGTTATTTGCCTGTGTGACTTCTGACTACATTCTCTGAGGGGTATAAATCAAAGGTTGAGAAAAGATCTGATCCTCTCCCTCAGCTGGTTAGAGTCTGCCATGGCTTTGTTATATCTTTCAATCTGGACAGGTTTAAATTAGTTGAAAATTTAGACCTTCTCTAAATTCCCTCTGAAAATATAAAGGAGGGAATTCTCAGATGTGAGAAAGCAGCCTGGTATCTGGCTCATATTGAAAATGCTCTTGTGTGTCCAGCTAACCTGTGAGTGAGGGAGAGGGGAAG